TCAGAAAAGTCGAGAATAATATTTATTTATTAGAACAATTTTTTTTAATGAACTTTTTGTTACGGCAAAGCTTTTTTTCTAACTAAATTTTTTGTTTTGTGTATTTTGTCCATTTAGAGTTCTCGATTTTCAACACGGGGAACTTCTAGTTATTACGAAGAAATTGATAATTCAGACGGTAAACAACGTTTTACATTAGAAGCCAAAGCATTTCTTTTAAAAAGTGGACGTGTATCTCAATTACTTCAAAATTATGTTCGTGACGCTCTTGACATGCCTACTGTTGTTGATTTTCTGAATCATAAAACAAATTATGATGTACGTCCGAGTCAGTCACTAATTGATGAAATCGTTCAAACAGGTACACATGGTGCAATGGGAAAAAACGATATGAACAGTTTAAAAAGTCGATTGAGACAATTATCAAAAAAATGGCAACGATACCGTTAAAAATTAACCCGTTATTTAAATAGCGACAAGATAAAATATATTAACTACTAATGGCATTTGTCTCCAATTATTCTAGATTGTATTAGATTTTATTATTAGCTTTAATATTTTGCTTATTTTTTTATTTGTGGCAAAGTTTTGTTGTCTTTTCTAGTCGTCTCTTCTCTATTTATTTACTATTTTTGTGTATTTACTACTTTCGATAACCACAGTTGATTTATTTAGCCAGAGAAACTTATTTAACCAGTGTATTTTAACTATTTATCATCTTACGATAAAAATATATACTAGAATTTTTAGGGAAGAAATTTGTATATGTACATAAAGTACAATGGCACCAGTTCAAAACGGAAAGCTAAACGGATTATTGCTGCAAAAGAAAACACTTTGTGGACCTGAATTAAAGCGTAATCTGTATGTTTGTGGATTTACTAGCATCTTGACTGAAAAGAATAAAAGTCAGTATTAGCCCAAGTAAAAGTTTTCGTTCATTAACGAAATCATTAGCGTTTCTCAGGTCATGATAACTGACGATACCTGGAGTGACCGACAAATAAAACACTAACGCAGTAATTGATGTAGTTCCGCCTCAGTATTTCCACTTCACGTCTCAACAAATACCGCTTTATTTATTGTTCTCTTTGATCTCACTCTTCATGCTATTTTACCTATCTCGTATTCTATTCGGGAACAGTGACAGATGGCAAAATCACGAATAATTTCGTACTGACTACGTCGCTAATAATTCGATTGAATTGTGCGGATTGTTGCTTGTTCATACCTTAAACACTATGAGTTCGATGAGATCACATCACGCATGGACTAGTATTAAGAAAAAAAAACGGTCTGTTTGTAAAATTCTTTCAATTAAGAAGAATGATTAATTTCATAATAAAAACATGAAACAAAAACCGAAATCTGAATAGATTGTGAAAACTAGAAACTCATATTGTCATTTCTGGATACAATATCATGAATTATAGATCATTTTTAATAAACAAACACAGTTACATTACTCATATTGCAATACAAACGCATTGATGTAATTTAAGTTTGCGAGTCGATCATCGTTAAGTGGTTTTTGTCCCATTGATTTTAGCCGCTACTCTTATGATAACTAATGTTTCTATTTTTAGTGGTTCAAATCGAAGTTAGATGAATTGAAATCATTGACACGTCCAGTAAAACTTCGAGTTAAGGAATACGAACAGTTTCCATTAATGTTAAAAGACTTAAAAGACTAGTTTCGTAAACCTATCTCTGTTTTGAGATTTCACCAATTTTTACGAATAACAATGCACTTACTAAATCTGTTTAATGTGGAAAGCAATCGAATAGCGACGTGATTATTTAACAGCAAAAACTTTAATTTTAGGCATGGCGCGCTGCAGTGTTAGCTGAACAAGAACGTACAAAACCGATAGATACTCCGAAATATCTGTCATCCGATACTGAAGATAAAATTGTCTATTTAAAACGTGAAGTCAGTTATTTACTTAATAAAGTTAAATTAACTTTAAAAGAAAGGAGATAGAAACGTCCGATTTTCACCATTCGCTACCCAAGATCAGGATACATGATTCTATGGAAATATATTTATGAAACTCTTCGCGAAGGTTGGTTTTTGATAAGATCCTTGGAGAATCAGATTGGTACTCCGAAAGTTACCATACAAATATTTTCTTTTTTTTATGGATAGATAGTTCAAAGTGTTTTCTTCAAACTAAGAATTCGGCGATCTCTTGATTTTTTGTAGTTTAGACGTGTCATCGAATTTTGATGGTACAACAGAACCTGCTCTACAAAATAGTATATTCAAAAACATCATCTTTAGATAAAAAGAAGTATGACTAGTTATTAACTGAGCAATTAACTAACTAATAAAATGATCATATTTTTTGTATTATTGAAACTTTTTATAACTGATACTAGAGAAAATATAAACGTTGTTGAAAGCACAACTCATTTTTAACTGGTGCAGATCTATTCAAAACATTCTAGTAGTAGCGCATAACACAGTGAATACACGAGTGTTTACATTTTGTTATCCGACACTACAGATATGCGTAGGTACTATTTGCATATCCCTGAATATTTCTGGTTTGAAAAGTACTGGTTTCTTTCTGAGTTATCTCAAATATATAACGAAACAACTTAAAAGAATCAGCACTGTTGAAATTAAAACAAGTAAACGTTTTGAACATGTACAAACTGTCTGAAAACCACATACCCTTTTAAACAGGTTTGAGATAAAATATGATAAGATTGTAAACTTTTTAGGCTGGGCTCAACAGAAAGAATGAATGTTGTGCATTATTGTTTTATTCTAAACCATATATCTTTTTGTGAATCTTCCAGCAAGACAAATGATTTATGTTATTTTTGTTCGCCATTAAAAAGACCTTAGAACTGATCTATTGTGCTCTTGTTCTCAAAAGTAAACTGAGCTGACAAGATTTTACTCTTTCGAAAAATTACACTTTTTTTGACTTTAAATCATATTTTGGTTATAAATATTTGGAAGAACGCTACGCCCAAATAGCGATGAGAACCCATATGAATCTGAACAGCGTGCGAATAGCAAAGTACATCAACGACGACGGCAAGCTAAAATCGGTACACGGACTTTAGAGTCGGTGGCACGGATAACACCTATACGTTTGAAAACGTTTGCAAACATGAGAACATGTTTCACAGAATTGTCCTTGTCTTTACTACACATAATTCATATTCTTCACTATTCGTGAAGTTCAACTCAAGAAATACAACTTCCTTCCAACATCTTGTAACACGAAAGCGTATGATCTTACAAGATCTTGCCATTGAGATACGTGACTTGTATTTATTTCTTATCACAAGATCATACGGTTTCTTATTATAAGATCTTATATGACCTTGCAAGAATCGATGACTCATTCTTACCACATAAATTTTACTATGACATTGAGTATATATATATATATATAACATAGTTCTTATGATAAAACTTAGAATTTCCTGTTTGTGTCCTACCTATGCCAGATAATATTATGAATAGAGAAAGATACTTTTTCTAAGAGGATCTAGAGGAAATTTATAGAACACGATCAGGCACATAATCTGATAAAATCTGATGAATTCTTACGTGATCTTATGAGATCTTGACACTTCTGGCAAGATCATATGTTATCTTATACGATCTTTTGCGACC